TGAGCCGTGAGCTCACTATCTTGCTGAGTTAGGTCGAGAGATATTGAACGAGCTCGTGGTCCAATGGTTAGAGCGTTCGACTCTGATCAAAGAGGTCGCAAGATCAAGGCTCGGGGTGGATGCCACTTGGGTCTGGGTATGACTGGCTGACGACGGCTAATAAGCCAGAAATAGCTATTCCAGTTTCACTTGTCTTTGCCGGTCATGCTATCTGGCTAGTAATCTCCTTGTTTACCGGGGACTAAAGTGATGTTAGTCGACGTATAAGCTGTTCAAATAAGATACGCATTAACCGATCTAACAGACATTTGATACTCACAGCTTATCTCAATCGCCTACTCTCAGACATGTGTTTTGTCGGGTGGAGACAAGTAAGTAACCAAGCAACCCCAAGTGCAATTATCCGCGATGAATGCAGGAGCCGTTAATTGTGCGAACTGCGAAGCAAAAGAAGCATAGTAATGCTGCAACCCTTGCACATCCACCAACCTCCCCTACTGCTGTTTTTGGTAGCGAGGTCGAGTGTTAATCCGAAAAGCCAGACGAATCAAATTCTTCTTCCAACAATCGAGCCCCTCTCTCGGTCTTATCTCTGCGATTGAGATTGCGACCATGTTGTTTACCTTTATGCCTCCTCTAACGCTGGTCCAACAGAAACCAACATTTCAGAAGATAAATTGGCGAACATACGTTTGCAAGATGGAAGAAGTCATTTTCGACGAAATGGGTACCCTAGTCGATGTATTGCCAAGAACATGGCTGGAAGACCGCCAAAGCCGTCGGTGCTGACAGCAGAGAAGAAAAGATTTTTCATCAGGGTCCCATTTCGAGGGGACACGCCAAGCGAACTCCTTAGAAGGCGCCTGAGCCAAGCTGTATCGAAAATCTTTCCAGCAGCCAATGCCCATATACTGTTCTCAACTACGCCCATCCTATACGGAGATATAAAGGACAAACTGGCAGCCCAGACCACCTCCATTTGCACCTACTCATTCACCTGCTCCTGTGGGGTAGACTATATTGTTCGCACGAGCCAACGACTGTCCAAAAGGGTACGAGAACAC